TTTATGGAAAATTAAATATTATGATAAATTCGAAATTTTAAAAATCATATAATTTTTTAATATTATTTTAGATATTTTAGATATTATTTTGAATATTTTAAATATTATTTGAGATATTTCAGATATTATTTTGAATATTTTAAATATTCTTTTGAATATTTTAGATATTTTAATATTTTAAATATTATTTTAAATATTTCAGATATTACTTTAAATATCTTAAATATTATTTTAAATATTTTAGATATTACTTTAAATATCTTAAATATTATTTTAAATATTTCAGATATTATTTTAAATATTTTAAATACTTTCGATGTTATCTTAAATATTTTAAATATTGTTATAAATATGTTAAATATGATTTTAAGTATTATTAATTAAAATATCACGAATACGTTAAATATCCGTCTAAACACAGTACTCATTCGGATAATTACCTCAGATAAATATTTATTCGAAGCTGCCGCGAACAATGCTCGACTCTGGCACGCAGCGACCGTTCGTTCTGTTATTAAAACAGCCCGCGATTCCCGGTGGCACAGGAAGTCGATCGAGGGGAATAAAAGGGAACTGGAAACGGCAGCTTTCACCGAATAACGCCGTAGTTCGGGTCCGTGCACGGGGTGTATCATTTGCGGTAAACGTTGCAAAACACGGGACCGATTTATGCAGCGCGCCGGCCGTCTGAATAAGTCAGCCTCGTTTCAGAGATGCAAATCGCCTCGGATGCAGAAACTGGTTGTTCCGGTACACGTCGTAGCGTAATAATAAGCTCCGCTCCGTGTTCTCGGAACGGGTGTACACGAGAGGCCGAGGCGCAGAGGCACAGGTCTCTCTCTCTCTCTTCTCCGGGGGGGCCTCTCCTCGGATACTCTTCGGAAACGATCGCATCGGCTCCCCACGGGTCTCTGCATTATGCCCTGCTGAAAAGTGTCGGGAAAATTGTTCCTTGAGCAAACACGGGTTTCCGAAGAAATACTGCTGGAACCCGCAGCCGACCGATCGGTTTCTCCAGCTCCTTCGGACGGCAGCAGCGTTCTCTCGTTTCGACGTCGGAGCTCGATAAAAATATCCGGCGGAAGAAAGAATATTGGAAATAGTTGACGATATAGTCTCGTTTGTACGAAGTAATTTTCCAAGATTTATTTGCAGTCGCAGAGATGAAATTTGATTTTCAAGAGACTTTAGTCGAAACGATTTTTTTACGTATATACATTCGGTTTTGGAAATACTTCTTCTGCGAACTTCTTTATTACGTTTAGCATATTTTTATTACGTTTAGCATTTTTTTTTATTACATTTATTGTATTTAGCTTCTTTATTACGTAACCTTGCTTCTGTTTCTTTTGCATGATACTTGAACTTGAGGATACAATCGTTTTCTAATATTCTGTATATTATAGTAAAAGTTCTTCTTAATTTTCCTTCAGCTTGTATTTAACGTATTTATAATATTTTAATTAATAATATTTAAGATTATAGATATTTAAAATATTGTAAACGGACAATTTGAGAAGAGCCTTGCACCTCGTTTTTAAAATTCTAGACAATCGGCAACTATAAAAACGAGCTGCTCGAACAATTCTCATCTCAAATCGTCCATTGTTGTTTATAAGCTGAAGAAAAATTGGGAAGAGAATTTGACCGTAAAATATTTCTATAAAATATTTTCGAAATTCTATCTTGTACGACTTTAACATTCGCGAGAGGGAATGAACCTATAAAAAAAGCACAGACTTGTATTATTCTGAAAAACAAGACTCCCTCTCACATACTAATCAAATCAATTAAATATTTCAACTCGCATTTCATTTCAATTAACAAAAACGAAACAAAATATTTCCGTCGACTCGCACAAATCCACCTAACAATAAATCAACCCGTAAATCCGTCAAATAAACAGTTAATCCGACCAGCGTATCTTCCGCCAAAAAGAGAAAAAGAAGAAAGAAAAACGCGAAAGGCTTCCTACTATCTCAGCCCTCCTCGAAATAACTCGCGAAACAGCGTGCAGTAAAATGCGCGTACTACCTGCGAAGGCTGGCGTCGAAACGATCGCGTAAAAGGACGCTCGGCTCGGAGAGCACGGGAATTAAAAGTTAAATGTTAAAGAGTTGGTCACGTGTGCGCGAAACAAACAGAAGATGAAAGATAGCGGCCGCGGCGACGGCGGCGACGATAATAAATTGGCGTTCGCGCGAGGAAAAGCCGCCGGCGTCCACCTGTTCGCCGAACGATCGTTTCTCCTCTTTTTCCCGGCGAGCCTCGAATTGGAAACCCGTGTTATCCGGGTTTTTCCTCGAGCGAGCGCCGCGCTCCCACGAAAAATAAAGACTGGTTTTCTCGGTGCGGCGCGCACGTATTTATCGCGTGAATCCAACGCGTGCATTGTAAAGTCCGCCGACCGAGGAGGCGAGATAAACACGCGCGCGTTCCGCACGTAACAGTATAAATAACTTGCGCAAGCATTAATGAATGCTTATCTGGCCGAGTCCGTTAAAAAGTCACGATATGTGTGTATGCGCGTTACAGCCATAGCCGTCGTCGTCGTCGTCGTAGTCGTCGACGACGACGACGCTGTTGCGTTATCAAGGCTCTTTTTCCACGCGCATCTACGCGCCGGCGACACACACGCACACACACGTACACCGATTCCAAATTGCGCTATTTTCACGCGCCGGTCTTATCTATTTTTCCTCCTGCTATCGTCTCCGCATCGTGCCCGTCTATTAATACAATAAACAAGTGGAAACAAGCGGCGAAGAATTGCCGTCGTGCAAGCAGTTTGCGCGGCGTAATTGCAACAGAGTACCGAGAAACGGCGAATGCTTAATTATTTACGTTTCCTCGCCGCGGAAAACATCGAATACGCGTCGCGCCACTGGTCCCGGATTCATTCTGACGCTCCGATTGCGTCACGCGATCGGATAAAAACGACATTTAACGGCCGCGTAAGACGCGACATTCTTCTCGCTTCTAGCATCGATTTGCGGTAATGTCTCTGTAATTGACGCTCGGATTGTCCAGACAAAAATGGACTATTCGGGGAGAGGAGACACGATTTTTCGAGTCTTCTGGCACATTTGTATAGTTGCCGATTGTCGACGATTATATAAACGAGGTGCAAGGCTCGAATAATCGCGTCTCCTTGAGAAGTCAAACTGTCCGTTTTCGTTTCGAAGCTGAGCGTCAATTAGAGAGACATTACTGTATTAGAAAGAGCGCGATTAAATAGAGGCAAATGCATTGAAAACGTTTCTTTTCTTTTCGTAACCACTGTTCCATCGGTACAGATGAATAAACAATTAGTAGACCGCAGAATTTATACAATTTCGAATAATTGAAAGATCAAAAGAATTTTAATGCGTCGATGTATATTTTTAACCCTTTGCGCTCGAGCGGTGACTGCGAGGCATCACTAAAAAAATGTTTGTATCGCATTCGAAAATAATTCTTACATCAACAAAATTTAGATTTGAAAAATTGTTAAAAGTATAACTGTTGTATAACTCGCAAGACAATTTCGCACGCATAAAATGCGCTCTGTCATATAAAATAGCGACAGCATGGGTCAGAAAAATTATTTTAGATTTACAGTTAAAATGGCTTCGAGTGCAAAGGGTTGATCTATTAAAACTACTAAAAGATCAAAGATCTTTATACGTTGTTTCAATTCCTTGCAATTAACCCTTTGCACTGTAAACCATTTTAATCGTAAATCTAAATTAACTTCTCTGACTTATAGTATTTCCATTTTATACGATAAAGTTCATTTCATGCATACGAAATTGAGTGTTGTGACTCACACAACAGTAAGACATTTAACAATCTTTTACATCTAAGCTTTGATAATGTAAAAATTACCTTGGAACGTGGTGTAACAATCTTAATGGTGCGTCAGAGTCACCACTCGAGTGCAAAGAGTTAATACGGACAATTATTATTTTGCGTAAAAATACGCAGTCCAATAATTGGCAGCGGCCTTGCGGACAGGCATTCACTGGCAGCCACGAGTTATCTCGCGATAAGCGCCCGCCGCACCCTTCTGTCGAAGATTCGTCGCAAACAAGGAAAAAGGATTTATTTACTTAGGAAACGAAAAGAGACGCTGGCGTCTAGAACAGGTTTCTTCGAAATAGTCGGTGGACGTGTTAGAAGGGTTGAAAAACGGCGGCTCGGCCCGAGGCTGGGGATAAAAGATCGAAAATAGACGGCCGAGAGCGGTTGAATCGAGGCGTAAAGTCGGAGGATCGACCGAGAGAAAGAGAGAGAGAGAGAGAGAGAGAGAGAGAGAGAGAGAGAGAGAGTGTGAGAGTGAGAGAGAGTGAGAGAGAGGAGCTCGTCGGAAGAGAACCGTGTGTAACCTTGAAACTTTTGTGTGCGTTGCAGGGAGCGGCGAGAAGCGGAAGTCCGGCTGGAGCGTGAACGCGAGAAAAGGGAGGCCAAGATGGAAAGGGAGAGGCTCGAGAAGCAGAGGGCCGCCGAGCAGGCAGTTCACAAGCACTTCGAGGAGTCCCTCAGGCTGGCACAACAAAAGGTTAGTCAGCCTTTACTGCCTGTTTTTCGCCGGCGCGCGTGTTTTTAATGACCTCCGGCCTCGTTCTTCGGGTCTCCGCGCCGCGCCGGTGCCGAGCGCGCCGAGTGCCGGCAGCGTGTCCGACAGATGCTCGACACAAAAATTCACGGGAATTATGTCCGTCTCGCGCCACTACGACCGAACCCGATCCCAAAAACGCGCGCGCTCTTTTTCGCTTTCCGTCGACGAGACCCCCCTTCCCGACCCGACCCGGTCCGACCCGGCCCGGCCCGACCGGGCCCGGCCGAATTAATCATCGAATTCCAGCGAAGAACGTGGCTCAGAAAACCTCTCGGCTCCCGTGTTAGGTCATCGAAATTTCGTGACGTCCGCGACCGTCGTTATCTTTTCCGTGACAGTCTCGGCGAATTTATTGCTACGGCAAAGAGTAGAAACGCAAATTCTGGAACCGAGAGAGTTTCATTTCGACGAGACTTACGTTTTTACGATGGTCTGAATTAAACAGAATTTTCGGTGACTCCTGAATATAATAGAATTTCGATAATTTTGTGAATGTAACAGGATTTAAATAATTTCTAAATATAATGGAATTTAGATAATTTCTTAATGGAACAGAATTTGGATCGCGTTCCTTAATGTAACAGAATTTCGATTATTTCTAAATATAATTCGATCTGAAATAATTTCCAAATATAACAGAATTTAGATAATTTCAAGATATAACAGAATTTACATGATTTCTTA